CAAAAAATAATACCAGAGATATCGTTACGCATAAGTAATTACAAGTAACGAGTATTGTAAGTAGTTACGTAGCACAGTGTTTAAATTTAAAGCGGGTGAACGGTAATGACAAATACGCAATTTAGATTCTTAATTGTCTTACAGTCTACCTTTCTGTTATAAAAACATTGCGAGTCCGTATTCCTGGACAGGGACTTCGAGGACTATTTTCCTTCTCCCGTCTAACGCGCACGTATAACACAGTGCGATTTTATGACGTTGAGAGCTATAATGCACCGGAAAAAAATGTGAACCTTTACGCAACAACAGCTGTTGTATGATTTTGGAAAAACAGCTCTGATGTTTCGAAAATTATGCGCCTGAAAACATATTCAGTTGATCATAATTTTACGCTCGTTGACCCGCCTCGTCCATGGCCAGAGAAACGAAGAAGTAATTGAAACACAATTGTACCGCGTTGTAATTAGAGCGCGATCGTTGTCCTCAGCGTTTTACCGAGTTGCGTAATTCTGTACTAATATATGCGTGTCCAAACTAATGTAAGCGTGTTCGCGTCGTTACATGTGGCGCACGTTTGGGAGATCGTGATCCATTGAGCTCGGGGAACCGATGATTATCTCGTCCCGACGACGGTTCCGAGCCCAATTTTCTACGTTTTCGGTTTTCAAAAGTTCGTTGTGATTAATGTTGATCAATATCGATTCCGACTGTGAAAATTGTGAAATTGTCATTTTTGTCATTTTCGTCCACGTGTACATCCCGTCGGCAATTCCAACATCGTCTGCAAAACGAACTTCTGTTTCAGCACGAACATTGATCATGCTATGCGAATAACGAAATCGTAAATAGATTTGCTGAAAAAAATAAAAAAATAATGTTAATTTTGCTTCGAAAGAAACTATTAATGACTATAAGTAAGATCGTAAAGTCCCCATGAGCCCCTTTTATCATTAAAATTTAGCCCACTCAGAAATTGAACTCTAGTTGCATCTATGTATGCGATACAAATCGGCAGGTGGAGTATTACACATACGTGGCCATCACTCATCGACTTTTCTTATAAAGATTTTTTTGTGCAGCGAATTTCAGTGCATTTCAATTTACCGAATGGTGTGTTGTTTATTTAATTATCAGTACCCGAACGGAAACAGAAACAATTTTTGAAATGAAATGTGTTAATCAACATTGAACCCGACAAATGTCATCTTGATATTTCCGAATCGTGAAAAATACGTTTTGTTCGTATTCATTTATCTTATTCGTTCAATTTATTTAGAAACTATCATTTCAGTATACGCGTGACATATATTCAAACGAATGATGTACTCAATTTCCAAGCGTAGGATATTTTATAATGTGTATAGATATCCGTCAATAGTTTTTCTATTTAAACTATTAAAATCAGTTACGATGAACTCAAGCTTTAAAAGGTTAGAACGGCTTCAAAATGTTCTTAAATCTGAGTAAATATATCTATTGTTTTATTTATATAATATTTATATATTTATTGGATACTTATTGTAATAATTAATTATAGGTTGTACGTTTTGTTACTAAAAATTAAAAAAAAAAATGTTTATAATTTATATTGGTGATGAGTTCTTAAAATAATAATTATTTTTGAACAATAATGTAAAAAGAAAAATTCCATCGTTATCTTAGAATAGTTATTTTCTTAATATGATATTATTATTATAATTATATTGTTTGAATTTAAACTATTAAGTATCTCAAATATTTTTTTATACTAAAATGTTATTTCACTATCAAATATAAAACGAATTTGAGATAAATCGTTTATCTTCAAAATAATATAGCCCGAAGAAAAATGTAAGTAGAATAATTAATTTATCAAAACAAAAGACTGTTCGTCTTCAGGCTGAAACCATAGATTATTTAAACTGACACTTAATTGAATATTGTTATATTGCGTTTGTAATATAAATATTTCAATTTTTATTGATATTGTTTTTAGAATGAATACAGAATAAGAAAATAGTCAGATGAAGTTTACGGTTACGGTTAAGTCTATGGTCTCAGGAAATAAAAATATAATGAAATGTTGTTTTCATTCTCGGGCCGAATTCATAATTATTATTTTTTTGTATACTTTTAGTGGTTTGAGTCAAAAAGTTTTCTTAGAAATCATAAATCAGGATTATATCAAAGTTTACGCGAATTAATGCTCACCCTTATCTAAAAATAAGATGTACCAATATATGGTATACTTTTCTCGCGTACTGTACACCAGCACTGGAAATGCAGATTTCTAAACAGTACACAAAGTTTGATAATAAAACGAAGAATTTTATTAAAATGAATGTCTTATATTATTATATAACTATTAAAAACAGATCTATTTATTTTTCAATAATTCAGTTAATACAACTAGGTATGCGCATAATACCGAATGAAAAGTGAAAATGTCCCTTAATTCCAAGTCAAACGCATTTAAACACACATAGTATAGTAAGGTATATGCCGTATACGAAAATTTACTAACTTTAGGTCTTTGTTTTGTTTGATGGTAAACAATTGTGTTCATCGGTAAAAGATTCTAAGGTTTCATTTAAAACGAATGTTTTACACATAGACAAAATCAAACGTGACATAAAAAGCAAAGCGTACACTTTCATTCGTCGAAACAACATAATTAAATTAAATCATTAGTTGATTGTTACGTCAGAAGCGAATCCAAATTTTCGGAAGACGGTTCGATGGAGTTTGAGTCCGTTACTATAGTAACATATACAGTCATATATCCGTGGACGAATTGTCCACGAACAATAAACATTGTGATTATTTGTGTCAAAAATAGCAACGAAACCGACGGTATCTTGTATTTTATTTATTTACATTTCGTTCCGTGACGGGTACATGTGTAAGATAAGTGTTCGCGTATGCTGTTATAACTCCTAAATAATATTTATAACGATGCATGGGGTTTCGCGAGCAACTGAATTATAGATTCTCGCGAAATGACGAAGGGGCACGAAAAGGAATGTGATAAACTACGTTCGAGGGTTTGTATTTTACCTTTTTTCATTTATTATTATTTATTTATACCTTCATATCTTTTAGCCACAAATCTCGGTGCAAATCGGATGTTCGATAATTTCAAATGGGAACAAATCGGGCGGAAAAGATTTCCATCTCCGTCGGCTGCCGACGGGGCGACGACGACGACGACGAATCCGTCTCTTGTCGTATCGCCTCAGGTTGGGTTCCGTGCATAACATTATTTCCTTTCACGTTCCTAATTGCGAATCAGCCAGCTCCGGCGGAAACTCCAATTTTATATTATAATATTTTCCTCGTGTATTATTATTATTATTATTATTATTTTCGTTATTACTCATTTTTTATGCTCAGACCGTCTTATGTTTGTTGTTCATTTCAAATATCGCATTTATGTGTATACATAATATTATATGCCTATATGTATGTATAGATATTATTTCGTATTACGCACGGTTTAGTAGTCAATGCGCAGATAAAACGATTTTTCTTCGTACAAATCTGCAATAAAAAAAAAACCATCCGAGCCTACCGGAAACAACAAACTTACACGTACCGGGAAAGTTTATTTTTATTTATTTATTTCGTTTTTTTTTTTTTTTTTGTTTTTGTTTTTGAGGCCTAATGTAAATGTCGTTTGATCCCCATTTGTCCTAATATATTTTATATATTGGTAATGTTTACGAGATCTTGGAGCAAATTTTCTACGGGTTCCACACGAAAAATCTGGTCGACCACTTGATAGTTTCCTAAATCAAGATAAACTGCGCCGAAGAAATACGACTCTCTGAAGTAATGTTTTCGACTTTTAACAATTTAAACTGCAGGAGACGACGTGAGGCACGAACACGTACTGTCAACGTTTTTAGTGATTTGTTCTTATTATATTCACGTTGAAAATAAATAAACAACTACACACCGTCAGTCACTTTTCGTTTTTGTCACCTCGGATGAAAAGTTTACACGTTAAAATAAAGAGTATAATAATTAAAACAGTTATTATTCCCTCGCACGAATACATTTCATTTACATTTTCGTTTGGATTAAAAATAAAAGTGAGTTTTTATAAAAATGAATACAACGATAAGGAACTCTATACCAATCGTATTTACAATCATATATTTAGTACGTAAAGATAGTGTTCACAATTGTAATAATGGTTCTCATTTCTTATTTTCTTTTTTTATTAAAATTATTTACAGTAATTAATTACAGGTACGGTCGTTACAAATCAGTTACACTTAAATAGCTCTATAAGTAAAGAGAATGCACACGATGTGTTTATCGTTTAATTATAAGCGATTACGGTTGTGTTAATATTTGAGTTCAGCAAAGAACAATTTCATAAAGTGGACGTATTATATGATTATTCCACGTTGAATTGGATTAAAATTATATTTAAATGATACATATATAATAGTATTTGATAAAAGTTTAACAATTCTTTTCGCTACGTATAAAAAGTACTGCGCCGTCATCGTTTTACAAATTCTAGTAAGATATATTTTACCACGAACTGAAGAAAATCATTTATTGTTGAAAGTACGTTTGCACTTCCGTATCGTGTAACATAACTAACTAAAACTGCATTGTAGCAATATATTTCTTCTTTTTTAAATTTACATTAGATTATAAATGTTTTGTCTTCAACGTAAATTTTTTTGAACAGTATTATCATCAAGTATCAGTTATCAATAAACATAGAGAGTTTATAAGACAAAATCAAATAGTTGACCGATAGTAATGGCATATAGCAGAGTTTGGCATAAGGTGTGTTATTGTCTTAGAGATAAGAAAATTGTAAATAATATAGTACTCTTTAAATTTAAAAATCACTCCTTCGTTTGTTTATCAGTTTGTGTAAATATTAATATCGTGTGATTACCGGTTTCACCGTGTTTCACATTATTGTTACTTTACGGAATACAATGGCGTGTATTGTATACACGTTTGCATAATAGTTTTTATTTTTAATTTTGCAGGTTCTTCTTTACCCGGAAGAAGGATGGGCAAGAAGTGCAGTATCGAGCTATTGGACCCTTACGCCCACCTGGTGGAATTGCAGCAAATGCAAAGTGGTCGAAGTAACAGGCACTAGAAAGTAAGTAAATCAGCTTTTTAATCGTTTGTTTCGTTTAATTAGATATGTCGTGTAATTCGTATAAAACATCGCTGTTTATAAAATTAGTAGTCTGATGGATGATGTACTTAACTCGTTTGAACATGATTCGATCCTTCATTAATGTGTAGCAAAAATTAGAAACTGTTTCGATTTATTAATTTCATCAAAAGAAACTGTACATCATATTTAATTTACAGATTTAAAAGTAATTATTCGAAAACTAATTTCATTCGAGTCAATTTTTAATCCAATTACACCTACTGAATATTATCATTATGAATCATTAATTAATGTCAGAAATATGACCAATAATTTACTGTTAGTTTTATTTTTTTAAATTTATAAATATATTTATGCAATCTGCTATTGTATATTTTTATAATGATAATAATTGGTGTGATAATAGTGGTTAAATTCTATTCTTGATTGAAGAAAAACCAATCAGTGAGAGAACTTCATGACAGTGGACAATTTTCAATTATTTAAAGGGTCCTGGCACCATTTTCGTTTCAAACGCCTTTTGGGATCATTAGTGATGTTAAGAGTATTTAAGTTCGAATCAAGAGAATTGTGGTATTTGCATAGATTTTAGTAGAAGCGTTTATAAAGAGTTTTACAAATTCTTTGACTGTTGGAATGAAGAAATCATTATGAAGTGTGTCATTTGAGACAAAAAAAAGGGACTTTTGTAATATAGTGATCGCTGTACAGGACACACAAATAATTATTTAAACGACGTAACACGTTCATTGCGAGTTTGAGATGTTGCGGAGAAGGTATGTAATTAAATAAATTTAACACTGATGTAAGATGTTAAGTAAAAAGTGTTTTTATTGACACTTAAAACAAAATTTAAACTTTTAAAATATAATAAAAAAAAATAAAAAGGCTTAGATAAAAACTATGTTTTAATTTTTTACCGTGCGTTTTAGAATAACGTATCCCTGAAGAGACTCTTGGTAGGCATAGGTAAAAAGTGTGTGTGATGGTGTGTACACATGTAACTAGTACTCTCTAACTCTATTCCTAACCCTTTTTGTCTCCTCTACGTTATACTCTGATTAACTATCTATTGTAGAATATCGGAATGACATACTAACTACATAACTGATAATTTGGGTTTAATTCAGTAGGTAATTAGACGGAGACATTTACATTGTGACATTTGGATTTTGTTTTTAGCCGAAGACTTAGCTGAATCCCAAAGTTGCATTCCATACGGCCGTGTTTGGTTTCAAGAGCAGTTTATTAAGGAAAATGTTATTGTTAAGACTGAAGTGTTTGGAAGTTAGGAGGAGTCGCAGCTGTCGCGATTGGTTGTTGAGAGTAATTCGTTTTGCATGGACATGGTGAGCCCAGGTCAGTCGCACGTTTTGATGGAGACCTAGACAGCAATTTTTTGTGTTACTGGGATGGGTAGATTATTGAATGTTATAGTTGAAGAGTAGATCTTAATGCGAAAGTGTAATGAGTTGATTTTGATTCGTTTGTCTTGATTTCCCATTTATTGTACCGGGTTTGCAGTACATTTAAGTGTGATTGGATAAAGTTGGATGTTGTTTCAGGTTCTGTGAGAAGATCGAAAATTTGTTTGCTTTGTATTCTACGAAATTTCTTGTGGTTGCGTGATTAGTTGTTCTGATGAGTATAATTTTAATAAGGAACTGCTTCAGCACTCTGAGGGACTCCAACACGGTTGAGATTTATTTCAGATATGTCTGACCGTGTTCAAATAGTGAAATATCTATCCTCAAGGTATGATTTAAATAATTTTTTATGATAGTATGCAAAAAAAGGGATATTTCATAATAAGAAGTAAAAAATACATAATGAGTTCTAATTGGTATTTTGAGAACTTAATTTTTTGAATTTTTCAAAAACGTTTCGAATAATTGAGAAAAAAAAATTGTAAAAAATTTCGAGATCTTCACGATCGAGAATCGAACACTCACAGCCGATTATTTTGTTCCGAACAATTTATTTATTTTACGAACCTCTGTACACGATTTCAGCCAAAAGGATTTCTTCGGTCATCACAATCAAAATGCATTTTTGAAAGGAAATACCGTCTTCTTGGTGCATCGATAGAATCATTAATATTCTACATTTTAGAATTCCAACAGTTTTATCGTATTCAAATTTAATTTTTCTTTGTTCTTTTTTCAAATTCATTGGTGGAGTCACGACCGTGGTAGGCATTCCATTAATATGGTAATACATATTCTAACTCGTACGTGTGATGTACCTAATATAACATGCAGTGCACAGTCGTCCGTGATATAACGTGCTGGTTTTAATTTTCAGTTGGCAACTATGACGTGCAAACTTCCCCGGAACAAACGAGAAATGGAATAAAACAAATAAATATAATAAACGAAAAATTTAATCCGATTTGCCGAACACACGTAAAATACACGGAGTGGCTTTAACAAGATAACTCCTGACTCCAGTGTATTATTTGTTTAAAGTAATGTAATCATATGAGGTGTTATCCCCGACAAAGTTCGTTTAGTATTCCAAACGGTATTTTGCGAAGTCGAACGAGCGCACCAAAGAATAGATTGGTTCTCCCCTTACACGTGTCGCCCCTATCATCCCCCTAACACGCCCGCGTTCGTATATCGGCTAAAATATCTTACTAATACTCAATTTTGCACATCAAGGGATTCCAGCTCTGGAACTGAGTTGCATACTTACTGGGTTCCATGTGAGTCGATACGTAATATCGTTTCCGATGAGACAAATCATAATGATAAATAAACGGAATAATGCTGGGAACATCGCTTGACTTAAGATAGACGTTCGGCGAAACGATGACACGCGTACAAAATATGCTTAAAACCCGAATTGATATTCTCGACGCAGGTCACTGCAAGAATTTGAATATACACGATTTAAAAAAAAAAAAAAAAAAAAAATAAGAAAAATGGAGGGTAAAACGAAGGGATGAGGCTAAATAAATGTTCGTATAAATTATCGAGTTTAATCTATTCTAAAAGCATTCTAGTTAAAACGTCCAGACGTAAATTAAATTTTATAACACGAATTAATTTAATCCAAGTAATATACAAATATAAATATAATATAATATAATATAATATAATATATACATTTTTAGATTCCGAGGGAAAGAGAGAGAGAAAGAACCGTAGCAATGTTGCATAGCAACGATTAATCATTTCAGTCAAAAAACGATTTTGAACGTTATTCGTTGGCAATATGAACACATTTTATCTATCAATGTTGGAAAAATGTAAACATTTATTGTTACGGGCTTGTCTGTTCGGATGCGGATTTACTTCGATTCTTTCGATTGTGCTTGGGTTGCGTCTGTGGGACTACAATTTGTTACCGTTTTGCGCTGATGAGTGATTAGTTTTCGGATAAATTAGTAGGATTTAACAAAATGCGTAGTAAGCTTAACGATAGTTTGAATATTATATCGAATATTAAGTGCACACCGTATAGTTATACGTTTAACGGAAAACTAGCCACTCTATTCCACTACCCGACTGATTTGAGTCGGTTACTAGACTAATTCGTTGGGAAAACGTGCCAATAACCAAACCGTATTGTTCCAAATTGCTTTATCATAGCGCACGTGGCACACGTAAAATGACGGTAGCGGTTATGGGTTCATAACTCTAAGAAAACTGAAAGGAGGTGAAGTAGAGAAATGTTTTATTTAATGGTTAACTAACCAAATTTAATTCGGACATTTTTTTTCAACGTTTTTCGAACGCAATGATTTATTGTTATTATTCCGTACAACATGATAAACAAACCACATGTTTCACATCTAGGAGAGATATCCTGCAAGATTTTTCGAATCCAATCTCCTGTTTATAACCGTTCCAATAATTTAACGAATAGCGTAGAACGGAAATCGTTTATGCTTTTTCCTATCATACTGTAAAAGCAGTGTAACAGATCAATATTTTTTGTTTAATAAATGCATTTTACTGATAGGAGCTTTGAGACAGAAAACAATAATCATTTAATACCCGGATAACTCTGAACAATAAATCGTTATTTGTGTTCATTCGTATATATTTGACAAGTCGCGCATTTTATTGAAGATTAACGTTCTGTTCTTAATTAAAATCAGTTCAAGAGAAGATAATTTTTTTTTAACGAGATATTTAACCACAATATTTATTATGATCGTTAATATTTAGTTATTTTAGTTATACATAGGGACAAGAGTTTTGAAGCAATAATTTTGAAAATTTACCAGGAATAATTTCGTAACCTATTGATAAATAGCTTTCCACCATTAAATCGAGAGAAAGAACAGAAGTAAAAATACATTTTTTGTGCATTCGAGACTTTCATTTCAGCGGTTTATCAATTTTTTTCTTAATTAAAAGTTATAGTTATTACTAGCGTTCGATTATAAAGTGAATATAGTCAGAACACGATCGTATTATGCAACACGTACATATTTTATCAAACGATTTTCCGTACCAATCAAATTAACTAATTGCAAAACCCGGATTCAATTTGTAGTCACCAGTGAACATAGAGTGGAAGCAGATCATTCGGCTGGTTTATAAATGAATACGAATACAAATGAAGATATACCTGCAGTTTTCCGGTGGTGGCACGTTGGCGATAACAATTTGCAAAACCATACGTATAATAATATTAATTACGCTGTGCATTTACAATAAGTACGTTTTATTTCTCCAATTATTCGTTACATTTTTTTAGTTTTGTCCAAACCTGGCGGCAATGGTCCTTCGATAATGGCGATACTGTCGAATAGTTTTTAAAACTTTTTAAAATTTTATAGCAAAAAAGTTGAGTATTCCCCGGTTTTATTTCCAATCCAGTTCGTGTGCGGATGATAAATAAAAACTGTTCATTCATCACGTGGTGTATTTAAAAATATTAAACTAATACATTTTTAAGAATTATTGCATGAAATCGAATCAACTCGGGTAATAAAAAAAAAAAAAAAATAATATAATAATTAC